TGTGCATGCTGGCCATGTGTGTGAAATTCAGAGGGTAAAATACTGAAGCATTTTGTCCAAGTGACCCAATGGGACTGCTAGTCTCAGGTGTCCATCAGATTGATGTCAACAAAGCAAGCAAAGCACAAACACAGAACTTCTTAGTGCTTGAGAAACAGCTCCTCAAAAAACAAAGCAGCACTTCCTCAATGCAGAAGGTAGGTATTTCCATGTACAGGTACTTCCAAAATTACTTCTTTTTTTTTTAGGGGGGGTGGGTGGTGGTGCTGCATTTCAGTTGCCTTCAGGCCTGAACACTGAGACAGAGTAGCAATTATTGCCAAACTCATTAGTTACGCTTTTTTTGCTTTCTGCAATCTGTGGTGTCTTAATCTTTGTAAATTTGGGATTATCTTTATACTTATCTTGACCTTCTAAGAGCAGCTGCTTTTAGACCACTTCCTGAAATTGGATTACTGAAGGAAGAACTTTGTTCCTGTGACGTCATTAAGGGTCTCTTTTTAAATTATTCTTTTTTTTTTTTTTTTTTTTTTTTTTTTTTTTAAAAAACCTTATGACGTACAAAATAAATTTTTTTTTTTTTTTTTTTTTTTTTTTTTTTTTTTAACAAACTAGTAGGCAAGCAAACATGAATAACTGCCTGAACCTCTGTTGTTACACATACAGAAGACTGTTTGGGCCATGTTTTTCAAACAGCAATCAAATGTAAATCTGTGTTCAGTGCTTCCATGGCTGGTGTTTGTTCTCTATAAACTGATATATAACAACTTCATAAAATTTGTATTATAAAATGTTGTTTTATCAGATTTCAGAAAATGTCAGCTTTAGCTGTGTCTTTGGGCCTTCCCTTTAGGGAATCCTTGGACTTCGCACTTTTTAAAAAAAACCAAAAAGTCATCCTATCCAAATCATCCATATATGCAATGCCTTTCAGATCTGAATGTTCCTTGGTTTTGCCAGCACTCTTGCATCTTTGTGGGATTTGTGAGGTCAGTTCCTAATGATTTTGTTTGCCTGTGACCAATGAGCAAACGGATTTTGTGTGTGTGATGCGGAGATGACTTTAGCAGTGTCCATCTTCTAGACTTGCTCCATTTTGTTCATAGTGTGCAAGTGCCATTGAAAATTATGATAATGATGTTTTCAAATGTTGAAAAAATGGTCTTTCAAATCTAATTTTTCATATGTGCCTTTATGATGACTGTGTTTAATTTTGTATCTTTTGTCTCTTAAACATGTTTACCTTTTTAGCTCTATAAAACTACCAGTTTCTAATAAAAGTTTGTTTCCTTATCTGGCTGGAGTGTGCTGATTTTTTTTCATGACCTGATAAGACAGATGGCACTTTATTGTGCTATATGCATAATACGCAATGTAAAAATGAAAGTAATTTATCTACAGTAATTTATCTGTTTGAGACTAGCCTACGCTTTGCTATTACATTGATATTTCAAAAGCTTGTTTGAGATCAGTTGATTGTCATCCTGTTTAAAAGTCTAGCTCTGAATGGCAAGTCACAATGTTTAGTATTTTTTCTTGTTCATTGAACAGTATTATACCGTGTTTTGCTTCTGTGTATGCTGTGTGACAGGACTCTTAGTATTAAGGACAAATATATTTGCTTGTGTTCTTAATGTTTATCTTTCTTTGATGTTAATCTTACTTGTTAGTCAAAGGATCAATATAAAAATCTTTTCAAGGTAATTGACTTAATTTACTCTGCATGTGTAACATGGCCATCCTACTAAAAGCATGCTCAGTAGCCAGCTTTGACAACGTACGAGTTTTTCTCACCAGTCCTTCCAATGTTAAAGGTAACTGGAAACAAATAAGGGAGGGTTTTCTTGTCTCTGATTCCTGCAAATACAGTTCTTGTAACATAAGTTTTAGAAGTTTCCTTTTAAATAATGGAAGAGCTAGATGCTCAGTATGTGATTCCTGACTAAATGAACAATCTGACATTCAGTTCTGTTCAAGGCAAGGATGCTTTTAACTGGAAATTCTCTGCAGTTGGAAAGGCTGAGCTATGAATAGTCTCTCTGATGGATGGAGTGGTAAGGTGTGCTCTCAAAGATGTCTGAGTTAGATGGTCCCCCCATCCCCTCCAAAAAGAAAATCTAAACTGCTACAAAATGTAGCACAGGTATTTAAAACATTGCTTTCAAGTTAACCTGTTGGGAAACTGAATTCTGCAGTCTTCTTATCAAAGACTGGTCCTGGTAAGATGCTTTTTTGATGTATAGGAGTTATTACACAGGCAGCATGTATGACGTCTGCCTTTTGAAGCAGCTCAGATCTGCAATTCATATGGTACCATTATTTCAAATTGCTTGCAACTACATGCAGCTTGTGTTAAAATAACACTGAGGCAGCAAAAACAATGGACAGGCCGTCTAGGACAGCATGCTTCACTCCCTTATAAAAATATTTTTACTATCATTTTGAAGTTTATGTGTTAGCCAAAGGAAATAGATTGCTGAGCAAGTATCTCAACTGTTTCTTCAAGCTTGTTCCTTTAGTTTTTAGTGTGTTCCACCAGTGTATTTTCACAGTCTGTTGAAACTGTGTGTTTCCATAATGCATTCTGTGTTCTTAAATTAGTGCTGATGGATTTGTAGGTTGCTGACTACTTTTGTCCCTTGTCTTTAACAGTTTAGTCCTAAACTTGTTAAATGTTGCTACAGTGCAGAAAAATCTTCCATGTTTCCTCTGTATCTTATCTTTTAGTAGGTGTTTAGTATTTTTCAAAATGTATGCAAAGATAGTGCCTGTAGATAATATGAGAAATATTGCTGTACCACTTGGTACTGCCTCTTCAGTTAAAGAAACTGAGGCATGAAGAGGATGTAAATCATGTTGTGTCATCGGTAAGTTAATAAGAGGTTCATGAATTGTGCATCCACATCCAAACTGATCCCTAACAACTCTTAGCTTTTCTGGGGTGTTCCTTGAGCAAATGATTCTTCCTGTGCATAGGCCTGTACATAACTGGTGCAGAAGGGAAAGGAAAAGCTTTGTTTTCTGTTCAAGATACAGGTGGGCTGTGACTGCTATCCGGTATCATTAACACTAGAAAGCACTGCAGACATGGCTTAGAATGTAAAACAGGGCTGTCAATGTGTGTCTTACCCTCTTGACTGTGGTGGGCTTCCTGGCAGGAGGTGCCTGCGGCACCACTCCTCACAACAGCACTAGCCCCAGCCCAAGCTGGCTTGCACGCTCGCTAGTGGAAACACCACCGTGAACACCGTGTACCAGAACCCACTTGGCAGCTTCCCTTTCTGCAAAAGAACACTGGGTGCTGCTGCACCACCCAGGTGAGGCTGGGTGTGACCTGCCTGATGCCCAAATTACCAGACCGAACTGTGTAAAAGGTGAAGCCTGAACTCTATTCCCCACCAACCCATCACCACCCAGTCGACCCATCACCACCCCACGCACGGAGTTTCTGCCTGAAACAAAGACTTCTGCGTGAAGAGAGGACACGTGCTGGAACAAGGGATTGGTGATGTTCTCTGTGTCTCGTGTGTGTGTGTCCCTGTCTCTTTATCTCTGTCTTTCTGCCCCCCTTTTTGTGATTCCCCAAAAAGGCGCTCCTTTTCAAGGAATCACAAAAAACGTCTCTCGACTGTTCACTGGAGTGGGGCGAAGATACTGATCTAAACTGTATGTTGCGGAGAACATAATTGGTGAGAACTGGATAGTCAACACAGAGTGATTCTGGAGTACTGGCAGTCTTGCTGTGTGAATGTCTCACTTCTATAAGCCCTCCTGGTGTCTGAAAATGTGTAGAAAAATTACTACATTTTTTGCCAATATTTGCAATTTGGGGTAAAAATTATTTGTGTTCTGGCAACTAACTGCGTGAGCATTGTGCACCTAAGCTCTTAAACTTTGAGTAAAGCCTAAAGGGTTGCTAAAGGGTTAACAAAGGAGTCTAGTATGTACTATATAGGTGGATAAAAAAACCCCATAGTGTGTATATGCATACATTCATATTCACATATACATGTCACATACACATAAAACCTCTGCACCAAGTTTGTGCATCTCCTTTGTGCAGCAGCTGGAGCAGCTTCCAGAGCGGCCTTTTAATTCACCAGTCTTGAAGCAGTGAAACTGCTGTCCCTGCAGACCCTTCCTCTGCAAGCTGAAAGGACAAAATTGAGGAGTAGTA